ACACACCATCAATGGAGAGTATTATGCCAACTTGCTGTGACTGTTAAAAAAGTCTGTCAAGACCAAATGCCCAGAAAAACTGACTTAGGGGGTTTTGTTTCATCAGGACAATGGCTCCAACACAAAGTCCTTGGTTTCAATGGCTGCTGTCTATGACTGGCTTTGAACTGATTGATTACTCTCCCTATTCTCCTTATTTTGCCCCACCTGAATATCTTCTGTTCAACTTGAAAAAACACTTGGCTGGTAACCAGTATCACAATGATAATGACTATTATATCTGTTGGTGTTGATTTCTTTGACCAACATGATGAAAGCTTCTTCAATGTGATCCAAGAATTGCAACTGATGGAAGAAGTGTGTGGACTGCAAGGGAGAATTTGAAAAATAAACCTCATTTGGTCACATTCAATGAGCATATCTTGGTCAGCCTATGAACTTTTCAGCTGACCTTCATATATCCAAGAGGGAGGGGCCATAATTCTCTGGTCAAACTATAAATGGCAAGATTTACTAGGAGTTCACAGAACTGCATATTTAGAAGAATGAAAACTAGGCTCTATACCAAAAACAATGCATTCAACCATGAAACAATTGTTTTTTGACAGTTCATAATTTCTAAAAACACAAGTCATTCCCCCATTCAGAGTCATGAACTTGAAAGTTTTAGACTAACATTTTACCAGAAGACAATATAACAGCTGTAGCAGATTAATTATTTATATCTATAAAGTCATGCTGAAAATTTCTTGGCCCAAACCACTTCTTAAAATCTGAACAAATAAGCAAATGGAATTATTTTTGGCATCCTTTCTTGAGAATTTTTCAGCACTTTCATAAATCAGCAAATGAAAGTTTCTGTTTATATTTCTGAGATGAGGTGTAATTATTTACATTATTTATATCATGGATAAAAGGCCAGAGCGCACAATGGCTGAAATGTTGTGAATATAGCAATAAAGATGAGGACAACAGTCTGAACAATGTAAATAAACGAAAATTTGCTTCAGTAATTGTACATTAGATTCCTTATTTCATGCAAATAGCTTGTACTGATTAGCGGATCATGTAAATATATTTCAATTCATAAATATGGACTGGGTATTTATAAATCTTTTCCTATTTTGTCAGATTAAAGGAAAACAAAACCACTGAAAGTTATGAATAAGCTACTGCATATGAATTCATAATCATCATTTATTCAGTACATTTTGAGCCACTATGGTCACCACTCCACTCCATCTGTCTGATGCTGCCCTTACAACCTCAGCCACTGTCATTCCAATCCATCTCTTAATATCATCAAACCAAAACATGAGTGGTCATTCCCAACGACACTTGCCCTCTACTTGGGCCAACAGAATGTCCTCATTGTATAATATGTCTGAAGGAACAGAGCTTCTTTAATGCTATCAGCTCTCTCAATACGTCTTCATCTAATGCTATCTAGCACCCATTTATTAGTGCATCTTGCTGTCCAGGGTACTCTAAGGACTCTGCAATATGCCCACAAATTAAAAGCATCAATCAGTGTCTTTTCCTCTTGGTCAGGGCCCATAACTCATATCTGCAGCTGGTGATGGCAAATTTAATTGAAAGCTAAATGATTAAATTTACTATTTCCAGTAAGTAAAATATTCTGGTATATTTCAAATAGAAATTATATAGATTAGAATCTCACTTTTTTGGTCAATTTCAGAAAATCTTCTTACAAGCAGCCATTTTCTTAATTTTAAGAAATTTGTAAACAAAATAAAATTGTTGGCTTTAATAATCTTCCAAAAATAAAATATATATTTATGACACGTTATTTGAGTAAAACTAGCAAATTTAAAGTAAAATTAATCTGATTTGAAATAAACATTACTTAATTATAGCATAAAAAGTAATATACAAGCATTTCTTAATGACCAGTCCTGTTTTTCTTTTATCTTTATTAACATATTGATAAGTTCCCAGGTGATGACAGCTAGTATGGATGACCAGAATTGACATAAACTTAGAAAATCTAAGTGAATGCATATTTTTGTTTTTAGCTACCTAGTAATTTTTACAAATTAACATATTTTCAGCAATTATTTAATATTTTACTGACATTTAGTTAATGTTTGAAGAAGCTTTATGAAAAAAATAAAGAAAATTTAAAATACTATAAAATTTTCATAAATTAATTTTAAAATTTAATAACAAATGAAATTAAAATAACATAAGCAAGAAAACACATCGATCTGGAATTTTTATAATAATTATAATATTCTTTAATCATTAATACTTTAGTTTCAATTAACAGTGAAAAACATTTTTTCTATTTTCTTCAATCCAAAAATTGTGAACACTCGCTGTTGAAAATTAATAAAAAAAAAAAAAAAGAGAAAATTAATTTCAAATACGAATGAAATAAAATATAAAAATAATTAAATTTATTAAACATTAGTTTTAAAATTAAAACATCTTTGTCAAAATAACTATCATTAAAAAGAATAAACTGAAAAACATGACCAGGAATAGATTGTGGAAGTGATCATCAGATGCTCAACTGCAAACTCAAGATGCAACTGAAAACCAGGATAAAAGTACAAGGGTCACCATAGTCTGAGTAATGCAGATATCAATCAAATTCTGTGAGGATGTAGAAAGAAGGGTCCATACAAGTGATGACAGCCCAGAGAGTGGAAACAATGATGAAGATGTTGAACAGCTATGGATAAAGATATATGACATTGCTCACAAGACTGCAAAGGAAGATATCCCATTCTGGAGTCACCAGAAGAGACCATGGCTGGAGATTGCAAAGAAGTTAAGAGAAAGCAAGGAGTAGCCAGGAAGAGTGAAATAGGCTGAACAAAAATTACAACAACATGGCAAGTGAGGATATTTGGAATTACTTGAAGGAAAAATGTACAGAGGTTCAAAAGAATGAGAAGAATGTAAAGAAGGTTTTCCAACTTGTAAAAGAAATAACTGGGGATGGAAGCAGAAAAGATAAAGGCCAGATGGGCAGAGTACTACAAATGTCTTTACAAGAATACAGATTAACACCAGTACAATCATGGAGCCACCACCACCACCCCTCCAAGAAGAGATCATCACTTTGAAAAGATCAAGACTGGCAAGTAGAGATGGGCAGTATAACTGAAAAAACGACTTTTTCAGTTTCATCTTCACACCATGAAACCGAATTGAAATTTTTTTTACAAAACTGAAATCATTCAGTTTAGGTCTATCACTATTAAGTTACCATATCCAAAGAAACACTATTGAAAAAGATCTTAATAAAATTAAATTTTATCAACATTTATACTATTATAAGAGAAAAAGATTGAACAAAAATATATTAAAAACATTTAATTGACTAGTTTTAGGAAATAAATGTGAAATCTATTTGTTTACAAAAGAAATGAAGAAAAAAAAAGAAATATGAATGATGCCTGAAAGCTATTTGTTTGAGTTTTCAAAACAAAACAAAACAAAAAAAAAAAAAAAAAAACAAATTATGGTAAAATTAAATTAACAAAATAACAAGTAAAAATAAAAAAAATAGTTGCTAGTTTCATCTTAATACAAATTTTATGAAGTCATATTTTTTGTAAGGGTCATATGTAATTGTTTTCTAGTAAGCTAATACACCAATCATGAAATAAAGTTGTTGTAAACAAGAAAAATGAATGAAGATTTTTCTTTTTTATAAATAAATTTGTATTTTATCTAGGGAATGCACCTAAATTAGATAATAAGAATAATTGAAATAGTTCTTAATTTCACTTTTAAAATGTGTATATTTCCAGATATACAAGACTAGTATAAAATTGTTTGTTTTCTACAAATAAAATTATGTTTCTGTCTAGCAAATACACCTAAAATTAGATATTAAAGAAATAAAATAAGTTTTAAAATGTGTATATTTCCAAAACTGCAAGTCATTTTTTTAAACCCAAAGTAAAAAAAATTATACTTTTTTAGCCATTCAGACAGTAGTTTCAATAATTTGAAAGTTCTTTTACCACACATTTATTACTATTAGTTGCTTTTTTCCCCTTTTTTTTTTCTTTAACTTACTTTATAATTTTTGAAGAAATTCGTTTCCTTGGGTCAGAGAAGAAATGAACATCTTCCTGGTTGTAGTTTAAGGTATCATCTAATTAAGTGTACAATTTCAAGAATATTGATAAAGATTGGTCACTTTGATATTGCAAAACAATTTAATGTGTAAAATTTATCCCCTAAAAAAAAATTAAAAAAATAAATAAATAAAAATTTTGCATTTTCAGCTGTTTGAAGCAAAATACTGTTTTCTGTAAAAAAAAAATAATTCAAATGAATAAAACACATACAAATTATATATTTAAAAAGATTATTTTATTTTCTTTCCAGCCCTATGAATGTTTTTTAAGATTGGACCAGAAATACACAAGAAATTGAGAGTTGAATGGACTAAGTTGCAAATTTATCAATCTCAAATGAAATCAGATATCAACTAGAAATGCTATCATTACACAATAAAATGAATGGCTTCCTTAGAAAGCAAAAATGTTAACTGAAAAACCGAATCGAAAACTGCAGTATCAAAGAAAAAAAAAATGGAAACCAATACCGAAACATAAATTGCCAAACAACCAACTCTACTGGGAAGTCACCAGGAATCGACAACTTCCTTATGGAGATCTGAAAGGCTACTAGAGATAATGAAGTCAGCCTGATCTGGCAACTCTGCAAAGTGATATGAAAGACTAGTCAATGGCACCATGACTGGTGTGGAGCAGTCTTCATTCCTTTGCCAAAGAAAGGAGATCTCAAGGAGTATAGCAACTACCACACCATCAGCCTGATAGTCCACATGAGGTTCTGTTGAATATCATTAACAGAAGAATATGAATTATGAATAGCTAAAAACTATGACAGATAGAAAATACTTATGTTCAAAATAAAAAAGTCATAGTTTTAAAACTGTGTTCAAAAAAATAAAATTATTCTAATAGTTAAAATGCTTGCAATATACTCACATGCTAATTATCTTGATTGCATGCTGATAATAAGGCAAGATTTCATCTGAAATTATATTAAGAAAAATGATTGCATTAAAAAAAATGTTTAAAAAAAAAAAAAAAAACTCTTATTAATTTATGATTAACAAAATTATTTTTCAGATATCTTAATAGCAATAACAGAAAAGAAAGTAACAAAAATTCTAGTTACAAATTTAATAAGAATCTAATAAAATTAAAAAAATATATTCTAAAATTTCTTGGCTAAGGACATTTAGATACTTGGTACACATCTACTGTATAAAATAATAATGTTTTAAAAAGTTTTTAGCCAAATAAAATTGTTTATTAGTTATTATAAAACTTTTAAAATAAAAAGATAGGACTAAATCTTCAAGTTTGTATTTCAAACCATTTTGACAGATATTAAACAATAACCTTCATTTTTATCCATTTTCACATACAGATATCTTTCTACAATAATAATTATATACAGTTAAATTTACTTGGAAAATGAGAGTTCTAATAATCAGGGCATAAACCAATTTAAAAAAAAAAAAATTTCATCTCATTTCTTAAACTTTATATTAACAAAATGGTAACCTTGGTTCAATGTTTAACTGCATGAAAATGCTTAATGATGATTTGAGGGAGGAAACAATTAAGATTAAACAGTGAAACTAGTTAAGTGTTGAGGAGAATAAGGAAAAAAAAAGGACCAAATAAAAATAATAATTAGAAGCCATATAATGAGTTAAGAGAAGGCATCAGCAAGATTTTAACCTGAAATAGACCCAGTAGAATTCATTAAGATTTAGTAAGACCAGATCTTCCCCAATCTCCCTAATTGCCTATGGGGCAGTATGACAATTTATGGTCTTCTAAAACTTTCCAAATTTGATATCCCTTAAAATTTTTCCAAAATCGTCATAATTCTGTGCAAATGTACATGCTGAACTCGAATTAACAATTAAATTATGAAGAAACCTTCATAATTTTGGAGTTATGGACAAGAAAAAAATCTGACTTCTCGTCATTCATCCCCCATTATTGCTATCATGATTACTATTCAAAACGGAAAAAAGGTTCTGTTGTATTATTTAATTTGTTTTTGTTATATAAATGAAACTACACTTACCAAAAAGAAATTACATTTCTTTACGGTAGTGTGTAATGATTTTCTGCAAGGAAAGTCTGTAAAAGAAGTAAATAGGCCAATTTTTCTGATTACTCCTGCGTAGGTACTACACAGTGAATTAGTAATCATGATGGCAGTAATAGGGGACGAATGACCAACAAGAAGTCAGATTTTGTCTTGTCGATAACTCCAAAACGGTAAGGTTTCTTCATAATTTAATTGTTAATTCGAGTTCAGCATGTACTGTAAGAAATTCTGCAATTTAAGCTCCTATTGGCTAATTTTGTAACGACCAATCTCATTGGTTGAATTTTGACTTGTTTTTTTTTGCGGGCATTTTACAACGGCCCGCGCCCTTTTGGCTTAGTTGCGGATTAGCATTGGAAGTGTCCGAACTCATTTTGAATCTATTTGTTAGGGCTATTAGCACCCAAGCCTAAATAATTAGGCATTGAATGTCCTTCAGCAACCAAAATGGTAATGCTTCAGAGACAGCTGCGGATTATTATTGGAATGGTCCGGACTCAACTTTGAATTTCTTTGCACGGCCTTTAAGCCCAAGCCTAATAATTAGGCATTGAATGTCTTTCAGCAACCAAATGGTAATGCTTCAGAGACAGTTGCGGATTATTATTGGAATGTTCTGGACTCAACTTTGAGTTTCTTTGCACGGCCTTTTAAGTCCAAGCTTAATAAATAGGCATTGAAGATTCCTTTCAGCAACCAAATGGTAATGCTTCAGTCAACTTCATGTCCCATCTTATTTCCTTCAAGGCTGTAGAAGATTCCTTTCAGCAACCAAATGGTAATTGCTTCAGAGACGTCATGTTCCAGCATCTTATTTCTTTCAAGGCTGTATAATTCAGTCATTTATTGACTGTCGTCAAATGTGTACGTTTACACGAAGAACTTTATGAACAAACTCGACAATAGCCGAGTTTCAACTTCAGCAACCGAAATGGTAATGCTCCAGCAACGACCAGCTAATGACAGCTTTTCTAACCTCATAGTGACTGATTGTGTCCTACAGAAGTAAAAGACACTACCTATCCATTGAAGAACTACCCTACCCTGTTCCCAGGGGCAAAAAAGGCCAAAATCTTTTTTGCAAGGATACAATAAAATTTGTTTTAAGTTTTAAGGTAGGCCTTGTTGAATTGTTTGTCTTTCTTGTCTCTGCCAAGGGTTAAACTGTGTGAGAAGAAATTCTCACAGTACATTTGCACGGAATTATGACGATTTTGGAAAAATTTTAAGGGATATTAGCGCTCGGGAAACAAAACCAAAATTTACCTTTTAAATAAGCTAATCTTCCTCAAATAAAGTTTCAGAAAAGTATATTTTAAAAAGAGAATTACGTTGTGCTAAAAGATCTGTAAATGACTAAAATCAGCCATTTAAAAAGACTCAGAAAGAGTCATCCCAATCAATTTAAATTTGTTTTGAAATACAAAGCATTTTTATTTTGCTTAGCTTATTGGAAATATATTAATTAAAAATTAAAGCTAAAATAAAAGCTTCAAGAAAGATTTTTCATTTTTAAAAATTAATTTTTTAAAACTTTAGGTATCTTTTGTCTAGGTACCTAAAAATGTTTTGTTTTTTGGGGGGGTTTTTACGATAAAATTTAGTTTTATTTAGTTTCTGTGTATTTTTTCATCATATATTCTTTTTAGCGAATTTTTGACGGTACCTAATTTTTTTTTTTAAATAAAGGTATTTTTCAGTTGTTAAAATAAAATTATTTCCACGAACTCTTAAATCATAAATTAAATATTTTCAGGAAGAAAGTGTCGAAAATGTTATATTGTTATCCAAATCAAATAATTAGCTGATTTTTTTAGTATTTTTAGTATTGAAACTTAAAAGTTAGGCGATTTGTTTTTGATACATTCATTTTTTTCCATACAAATTATTGTCAAACTGTTTTTTATACAATGTAAGCAACTTTTTCCAACTAAAAGATCTCCGATTAAATGAGCGCATATAATTTTCGTCAAAAGTGCCTGGAGGTATGGTGTTGAAATAAAAACACATTTTTGTGGTCAAATATCGAAATTTTACATTTTGTCACCAGCCGAAACTAGTATTCATAAAATAATAACAAATTTAAATTACTGAAGTTATTTAAAAAATAATTTCATGGAGCTATTAAACTTTAATAGCTCCATGAAATTATTTTTTAATAATTAAACTAAAAAGTAAAATTTTATTTTTTATGACAAAATCAAAACCTGAACAGAACAGTTTTTACTTTTTAGAATTGATACTTTTTTTGATTAAGTTTTTATTCACGTTTAAAAAAAGAAAAAAGAAAAAAAGAAAATTAAAAAAAAAAAAAAAAAAGACAAAAAAAAAGCTTTGTTATTAAAAAAAGTTTTGGACAAAGATAGATGAGTGAAATTTAAACTAGCTTTTTTTTTTATAAGTGTATTCGCATTTGAATATTGTGTTAAAAATGCAATTTAAGAAAATGTTTATAATTCTTTACTTATTGGGAAAACAAAAAGGTACAAGAGAACAAATCAAGTACTGTGGTCCGTGTTGAAATGATAATCATTATAGAAGAATTCATAATCTGACTGCAATGAAGAATTTTTTTATTCTTTTTTTTTTTTTTCGTACATTTAACACTTCACATTTCTTGTTTCATAAAGTAATTGCTTCATCATTTCGAAAACCGGTCAATGTACAGGGTGGCCCGAAAGACTTGTCACCCAATGCCTCTATTTATTACAAACTTGAAGCTCGTGTCTGAAAAAGAAAATTATATTATGTACGGGTGACAATACTTTCGGACCATCCTGTATATTAAAAACAAAATTTGATGACGCAAAGCCTAAATTCTTTTGATCCACATTTCAACACGAATCATGAGTACTTGACTTATACTTAACTTCACAATGTTTTATTTTTTGTGGCTCCAGTAAAGTAAACTCTTTAAAAATACATCCGAATTTTGTCAAAAATATCCACAAAAATCAATTTATTCCAAGTTAAATTACATTTTATTTCAAGTAGCATGTTAATTTTTAATTATTGAAATTATTTTAATAAAATATAGAGAAAAGTAAAAACTTCATAATTTAATTATTACTTTTTAGCGAGTGAGAAATAAAAAAAATATCGACAACACGTACGTAAGCGCGCACATCAAAAATAGTTCTTTTTAAAGTTAATCTTTAAGGAAATGTTTGAAATTAGTTAATAAAATTACCTTCTGCGCAGCCAGTAACAAGTCGACATAATTTTTGGAGTGCCACCGATATAGAGTTTCCATCAACTTGAGTTGACATATTTGTAAATCAGCCTATTAGAAAATTAATTTTTAAAAAGTTGTAAATAAATATTATATCAAAATCTAGTTTACCGCGTTCGTAAACATAATCGTTGCTAGCACTTCCGTCGGAACCCTCAGCTATTTCCGGTCGTCGTTACTTTACATTGTTAATGGCTCAAAACAATTTTCGCATAGCAACACTGAATTATCTCCCATTTAAACTTTTTTTTTTTTAACTCGCTTTATATGAATTCTCTGGATTTGAAAAATCATTAACCAGAAACAGAACGAAAAATAGAATCCGAAAATTTCGACTTATTTAATTAAAAAAAAAAAATACTTTCTTTGAATTTAAACAAAATTGTTTGTTCTACTTTAAATTACATTACTCTTTACTGCTTAATCAATCCCTTCAATAAAATTACTCAATGAATCAAGTAAAAATAAAAAAAATGTCTATGAGGGCATACTGGAAAATTCTCAGCCCAACCATATAACGACACTGGCTCATCCAAAAACCTACTGGCTGACTGTGGTGGATGTGGATGGAGGGGATGGAGTCACTAGCTGCACCTCACGAAGGATGAAAGAAGATTATTGGCATTGCTAACTGGCCAGCAGTGGTGTCATGATGTACGACCTTTGGGGTGGAAGCCCCGCGCACCTGTCCTGACCATTCTGTCTGCTAGGAGTTAGGGGAGGAAAGAGCTGAAGGGTTACAAACTTAGAAAGTGTAGCTGTTGCCCACTAGCGGCCCCATATCACGAAAGGGTGAATGAGGTCACAAGAGGCCCGCTAACATTTTTGAAGACGTTAAATCTGACGGTGAAACAACATGGACGACAGAACGATTCATGTATGATATATGGAAATTTATTCTAGAAAAGAAAAGGAAATAAAGATGGTCGGAAACGGTAGAGGTGCAGAAGTTTTAGTGCAGGCATTGATGGTCGAGGTTGGTGTTGGTAGTTGCCAGGATGATCGTTGTTGGTTGTTGGGGTTGAAACTGATGTGGGTTGTTGCCAGGATCATCGCTGTTGATTGTCGAAGTTGATTGTTGCTGGGATGATCGCTGTTGGTTGTCGAAGTTGATTGTTGCCGGGATGATCGCTGTTGGTTGTCGAAGTTGATTGTTGCTGGGATGATCGCTGTTGGTTGTTGAAGTTGATTGTTGGTTGCTGGCAGGATCATCGCTGTTGATTGTTGCAGTTGATGTTGGTTGTTGGCAGGATCATCGCTGTTGGTTGTTGCAGTTGATGTTGGTTGTTGGCAGGATCATCGCTGTTGGTTGTTGAAGTTGATCGTTGCCGGGGTGCCACTTGTTGGTCGTTGCCGGGATGCCAACTTGACGTGTTGGGAAGGGGAGAAGAGCTGGCGATGTTCGGGCATGTAACAGGTCCAGTGCAGGCGTTGCGTGTTTGCCGGTCGAGTCCAATATTAGTAACCTCCCGTATTAATTACTAACATAGTGTACGGAAAAGGTTAAGGACGACGTGCATGCAGCCAGTAGGGATGGAATGCCGAGAGTCGAACAGGAACCAGGAGTAGTAGGCGAAGTAGAGAGAGAAAGGGAAGTTCCCAACTATCGTAAAGTTGGCAGACAAAAAAAAATGGGAGCGTAACTTAATACACAGCTCGTTGATCGATGTCCTGACCGTTTCAATCACCAACCACCTCCTGGATTAAGTGAGAAGCAGCTGTCTTGTGGTCAGGGAGGCCAGCAAATGAAATTGGATAAGCTGACAGTAAAGTCTCTATAATAAAATACGACGAGGTTAGCTAAAGAGAACTATGGCCTAAAAATGTCTAGAAGCATATTACAACAAGGTTTGTAATATAACTTAACTAAAAAGGGGATTTGCTAGTCCCTCCGACGTGTTAACAGTGTATAGGGAGCATGAATGAGAGGTCAAGGTCGAAATGAACTGTTCCTCTGCCGGTTCAAGGATAGAAGGAGGAGGTAACTCCGACAAAAGAAATTATGGAATAATTGAGTGAAGAATTGAACAAGACCGAATGGTTATGAAGAATAAAAACAAGAGAATATTGTTGACTTGCAGGAATGATCAAAATGAAAGGGTTGATGATGATGATGATGATGGTAGCCACACAAATGGCAGCAAGGTACAAGATGGAAACAGAATACATAGCTTTAAATTCGGGTAGAACAAAATTCATGTTGCTAACAAACAGCTGAAGAAGCTAGAATGTGTAGAAATGATGCTCTAGGGACTTATACATCGTTAAGCCCTATCTATATGGCTGGTAACCACAAAATGTGCATACTAGAATTGTTTGATGGGAAGAAAGAGGGAATTAAGAGAACTTGTCAAGTAGAGGTATTAGCAAACACGGCATTACCACGAGCTATCAGTGTTTCAGACAGGGTGTGGGCAGTGGCCACACAGAAACCCATCAGCTTGTCTAGGGTATGTGGGGGAGAGTCCACAAGGACATTAAGAGTAAAGCCACCATTATCCCTGTTAAAGTTACCCCTGGGATGTTCGGCATTTGGGATATCTATTTCCTTACCCATCTATTACCAGGAAGAAGAAAGATATCAAGAGAAAGATTCAATCATAGAATTGATTGGCAGAAGCTTAGTCAATTTTACAGAGTTGTGGGAGCCAATAGTGAGGGGATTCCCCAATGTTACCTTGAAAATGCCAGTACTAATGAAGCCGATAGAAAAGATCAATATGGATCAATTGAGGGACAAGTTAAGTGCGTTGGAAAATGAAGGTATGGCTTGGGAAGATGATGTGCAGATCATGATAAGTTGGTCAGCAATGATGGGTACATTCATAATTATAGCCATAGGTGGTATGGCAATATGGAAGATTAGAAGTAAGAGGAAATTAACGAGCGGTAATCAAATGAGCATGCAGCAGCTCGAGAGGGAGATGCCGAGCAGTGTTCTTTACTCATACAGAATCGGCGAAGAAATTGCAGAAAGGCCAGTGGAGGAGACTGATGTGAAACAAACGCATGCAGCAGAAAAACCTCCTGCAGCAGAGAAAAAAACATTGACCCAGAAAAACAAAAAGCTATAATTGCCACCCCACACATGCAAACTTTAAATTGACACAGGCGCAGATGAAAGAACATTACATTTGCATGTAAGAACGGATGAAAAAAGGACTTTGCATGAACAGAAGATGAAAAAGGCATTACATTTGCATGTAGAACAAGAAGATGAAAAAAGAAGAACATTACATTTGCATGTAGAACAGAAGAAGATGAAAAAAAAAGAACATTACATTTGCATGTAGAACAAGAAGAAGATGAAAAAAAGACATTACATTTGCATGTAGAACAGAAAGATGAAAAGAACATTACATTTGCATGTAAACAGAAGAAGATGAAAAGAACATTACATTTGCATGTAGAACAGAAGATGAAAAAAGAACATTACATTTGCATGTAGAACAGAAGAAGATGAAAAAGAACGAACATTTGCATTTGAATATGATGAAAAGAACATTACATTTGCATGTAGATGAAAATGAAAAGAACATTACATTTGCATGTAGAACAGAAGAAGATGAAAAGAACATTACATTTGCATGTAGAACAGAAGAAGAAAAAAAGAACAGAAGAACTTAAAAAGAAATATTATTTGCATGTAAACAGAAGATGAAAAGAACATTACATTTGCATGTAGAACAGAAGAAGATGAAAAAAAAACATTACATTTGCATGTAGAACAGAAGATGAAAAAGAAACATTACATTTGCATGTAAACAGAAGAAGATGAAAAGAAGAAAATTACATTTGCATGTAGAACAGAAGATGAAAAAGAACATTACATTTGCATGTAGAACAGAAGATGAAGATGAAAAAAAGAACATTACATTTGCATGTAGAACAGAAGAAGATGAAAAAGAACATTACATTTGCATGTGAAAAGAAGAAGATGAAAAAAAACATTACATTTGCATGCATGATGAGAACAGATGTAGAACAGAAGATGAAAAGAAATTACATTTGCAAGAACAGAAGAAGATGAAAAGAACATTACATTTTCATGTAGAACAGAAGAAGATGAAAAGAACATTACATTTGCATGTAGAATAGAAGAAGATGAAAAGAAAATTACATTTGCATGTAGAACAGAAGATGAAAAACAACATTACATTGCAGAAGAAGATGAAAGAACAGAAGAAGATGAAAAGAACATTACATTTGCATGTAGAACAGAAGATGAAAAAAAAGAACATTACATTTGCATGTAGAACAGAAAAGATGAAAAAAGAACATTACATTTGCATATAGAACAGAGAGAAGATGAAAAAGAACATTACATTTGCATGTAGAACAGAAGAAGATGAAAAAAGAAAACATTACATTTGCATGTAGAACAGAAGAAGATGAAAAACAACATTTGCATGTAGAACATTTACATTTGCATGTAGAACAGAAGAAGAAAAAAGAACATTACATTTGCATGTAGAACAGAAGAAGATGAAAAAGAACATTACATTTGCATGTAGAACAGAAGATGAAAGAACATTACAATGTAGAACAGAAGAAGATGAAAAAGAACATTACATTTGCATGTAGAACAGAAGAAGATGAAAATGAAAAAAAGAACATTACATTTGCATGTAGAAGGAGAAGATGAAAAAAAGAACATTACATTTGCATGTAGAACAGAAGAAGATGAAAAGAACATTACATTTGCATGTAGAACAGAAGAAGATGAAAAAACATTACATTTGCATGTAGAACAAAAAGATGAAAAAAAGAACATTACATTTGCATGTAGAACAGAAGAAGATGAAAAGAACATTACATTTGCATGTAGAACAGAAGAAGATGAAAAAGAACATTACATTTGCATGTAGAAGATGAAGAAGATGAAAAGAAAAACATTACATTTGCATGTAGAACAGAAGAAGATGAAAAAGAACATTACATTTGCATGTAGAACGAAGAAGATGAAAAAGAACATTACATTTGCATGTAGAACAGAAGAAGATGAAAAAAAACATTACATTTGCATATAGAACAGAA